AGCTTTGACCTCGGCTGTATTTGGGAAGTGTAAATGTTACATCAACTCGTTTTTAATGCAATGGCGAAATTCCCAAAAAACTTAATATACAGTGTAATGAAATGTGATAATGTAGGATTTATTGATGTTTGAGTCGTTTCCAAGCAGTTGATTGAGTTGAGAAAAACTATTTCCCTATAAGGCTAATTTGAGGTCATGGCGGGGGAAGTATCTGATCTAAAAAATATGATAAGTTCCTGGCAGAACTTAAACTGCATTAGCTGAAAGGGCAAATTATGAAAGCGTTTGCCCTCAAGATCGACCAACCTTCACAAGTGTAACAATAAGTGCAATTAGTGCGTGGGCAGTGTAACCTTCTCATGATATTTAGATTTAATGTTAGTTCCTAAGTTATTGATGGAATTACAAGAAAGAAGAAATCAATGTAAACGCACGATTTCTTTTCGTCTATTTTCAAATAGCTATATGAAGGAAGTATGCACTAGCCATATAATGACGGCAAAACGTCTGGAAGGGTTATGGAACGGCTGAAAAGGTTATGAAAAACGTGTGCTAGAAGGTACGTGTTTTCAATGTCAGTGAAAGTACGTCACGTCTACACTCTTTTTTTTTTATATAAGAATGTTGTTTTTCCGGCCCAGGCTGAATATTCTTATTTTTCTGCCGATTTTAGGCTGAAAATATACTTGTATTATTCTTAAATTATAGCTTATGACATTTCCGTTTTAGAATATATTGGGGTATCAAGTATAGTCAGTGCAGGTTTTTGCGCCTTGTTGGTAAGTTTTGCCGTTCAGAGGATGGAATGAGTTGAAAACATAATTGTGTGGTATTTACAGTTTTTGAACACACAAAATTACATCGTTTTCAAAACCTCAACCTGGGGTTTATTCTTAAAATATTCTTAAAATTTCGCAAATATCAGCCTCGATATTCTTATAAAATGTATTATTATAGAAAAAAAAGAGTGTATCTAAGAAAACTTCCACACGTGTAAAGCCTTTACACATACACATAAGTAAAACTCAGAATCACTATTACAGTAGTTTCATGAAAAGCACTGCATATTTTTTCCTCGCTTTCGGCTTCGAATAAGATTAGAAGGAATTGCAAAAAGCTTTCAAAGACAATTTCTATACTGTTCAAAGTTTATTTTCACAGTGAACTTCCTCTGAGTAAGCATGGAATAATTAAGTCATGTGAAGGTATATTTAAATAGAAATACAGGGTGTCCCAAAAGTTCGTTCCTCTACTTTATATGTCTGTATTTCAGTACGATTGGACTTAGTAAGCAAATCATTTAAACAAAAGTTGTGGCTTTCAATCTAATTCACTATTTTCGTACTTGTTGTGCCATCTTTTGACTCGAACATTCGATTTGTGTACTTCCGCGCCAAAGGTTCGCGTGCGCGAGTATATTTTCCAGCCTTTTTTTTGTATTTTATTGCCCGAACTAGCAAGCCAAGTCCAGAAGGGTCTTGAAAGGCTGTTTAAAATGTTTAAAAAATTAGAGGCCGCTGAGATGCCCCCCCCCCCAAAAAAAAAATCTGCTTAGTCTTCCAAGTAACGCCCAGCTCGTCTCAAATTTGTAAAGAAGTACAAAAGCCTTGCTGTGGAAGGGATGATTATCTTTTTTGGATGAATGCCCCATATATATATTTTTTTCAGCTGCCAAAACTAAACAAATATTGTTTGGGGGCTGAACTGGCCCCTGCGCACTAGCTCAAAATGGATCATCTGTGGGTCTACACGTTGTATCCCACTTCATGCCGGAACGGCTACAGGATGTGATAAAAAACAAAAAGGGTATGCCAGTTACTGAAATTCTGATACACGTTCTCGATAGTGAAATAAACATCTTCTAGAAATTTCAGGTAAAAATAAAGTTTTGGTCAAAAGTTATAGGACATGAAATTAGAGGAACGAACTTTTGGGACACCCTGTACTAAGCTCGCCTTTAGCTGTACGGCACCTTTGGCTAAAGAATCGAAAGAAAAACAAAATGATAAGTTAAAAGCATCGTTGCCATTAATCTAAGCATAAGTTATCATGATAGGTACCTCTAACCTTGAAATGTGTCTGACGATGGTACACACAATCAAGTGTATTGTCAGGGATACGGCGCAGAGCCCTAGCAGCACGGCCGCATAGCCGTCTCTAAGTGTTCTGCCATTGTTAATTCTGCTTGAAGATCTTATGGTTGTGGGAAAATTCAGTGCTTCGCCCTTTACAAATGCCTTTAAAAATTCGCGAATTCGACCGGTGACACTCATTAATAGTAAAGAACTTAAAATGGGAAAAACCTAATGATGACGAGTTTGAGCGGTATTTGGGCATGCTAAGGCCGATCCTATATTTGAAAAGGAAAAAAAAAACACAAAATAAAACAAAAACATATCAAAAACAAAAAGAAAGAGCTTGTAAAGATCATTTTATTAAAGCTGTTAAGAGACGTGTAAAAGAAAGAGACATGATATAGACTGATTGTACTACCTTATTTGGGTCTAAACTGTTAACTAAATGAAACTGCAGGATGGCTAAAAAAACTCGTATACATATTTAAAATAAGTCGTGACAAGCAGTTATTTAATTCGTGTTTTTGCCATCTGATATGGGATCTGTCTTTGACAACTACGTACAACTATCTTTAAGTCGCGTATAACTGAAATGGCTATCTAGTTTACATACAGCATAGCATGGGGGTCGTGGACTCTATTGATTCTTAATACATCACAAAACAAAACAAGGAAAAAAATAGTCCTTGCTCAGCTTCAGCCCAAATCCTTTCGATGTCTATAAAGATAAAAAAATATGTAAGATATCGCGCGACCTTTAAATCCTAAGATAACAAAGATTGCTGATTTGAGGTTGTTATCCCTGTTTCCTCTATCCCTCTATCCCTCTTTTCGATACGCACGAACTCCTCTTAATGCTTCGGCGTCTTACACCGGGGCAGGGCATTGTAGAATACTGGGGTACTTACCTTTTGACAGAAAATTTGGGAAATTCCGGATGGATGGTAAATGGTAAGGTCACTTTTCGGAAATTCCAACCTAAAATTGAGGAGTGCGTTTTGAGGTAGTCCGTTCATTCAGGTTGGTACAAACCAAACGGAATGTTGCTTACCACTTACCAATTTCTCGGTTCCAGACGCATTCTCCCCTAGTCTACTACACAGCCGTTTTTAGTGTCTGCGTGACGACACTAAAAACGGCTGTGTAGCAGACTAATTCTCCCCCTTTTTAAATTCAAATCGTAACAGATGTGGCACTTCTGCGGTAAACTGGTAAATCGCTTCGCTTACCATTATGCTTCCGAGACCCCAACCAGATTTGTCTGTCAAATGGTAAGCACCCCTGGTATAACATAGCCTCCCAAGCAGGCGTTTTTAGGGGCCCCTAAAAACGCCTGCGTGGGAGGCTAGGTATAACATGGTCAGTTATAAAATAACTAGGTCGTGTTTGCATGAGAGTATGTAAACATGGTCGTGACGTCAAGATGTTTTCCTTTTCGCGCGCTAATCACGCAAGCACGAATTTGAATAAAATTTTGAGTTGAAAAACTGGACAAGTTTACTTTATTTACCCATTTCCTCGTTCCTCGTCGGTTGAAACTTGAAAGATCTTTAGAAACATGCTGTGTCAATTTTTTTTCGCTTGAGCTGACATTTTAAACGAGAAAAACCCGTATTTGTAAAGCATCTTTTTTGCAAAACAAAGACTGATTACGCGTAAGTAGATTAGTACTACTTACAACTTCTAGCTCTTTTCCCTCAACGACAACTACGTGAAACTCTTCGGGGTTAAGAGCAAACGAAATCGTGAGACTTTACATTCGCCCTAGCCTGTTCCAGGCTCCAAAATAGTCGGGTCCGCTGAATTGAGAAACCGCAAACACGAAAATAAAACGGGAGGAAACTCCTTTCCTTTTTCCCTCCCCGCCAGCTTTTCGCGTGCCTTTTTCTTTCGCGTGTTCCCCCACTATCTGAGAGCCTGGAACAGGCTACATTCGCCCGGATTTAGATGCATCCTATTTTCCTGCGACCAAAGTATAAACTGATCTGTGACACTCTGAGCATAGGGCCATAGTAGCAGATGACTTCGGAACCTCCCCAACACAGCTGGTTTAACATAGTCTTCTACAACAAACCCCTCTGCCAGCTTTGCGACGCATAGTGTCAATGAAATGAGTTGTAGGTCTTTGCTCAGGTCTTGTGCAGGCTAAGTTCTTTTTTGGCAAAGAGGGGACATCAGACATCTTCCACACTGTTGGTAGGGGTTGCTCGCGATTCAAGGCATTTAGAATTTGAATGATAGGGAATGCCAAAAAGTCAGAAAATTCCTTTAGGATCCAATATGGTATTTCATCCGCTATGACAAATAAAAAATGTTTATCAAAACAAGGGCTTGGAATTAAACTTGTTATTACGTTGTTAGCGTGAGCCAAGGGCGTCGATGAAACCCGGAACACGGAACATTCCGGAACATGCCGGAATGTTCTGTGTTCCGAATTTTATCTAATTGAACTAACTGATTCAGTCAATCGGAATTTCTGGTTTCCTCATCATGTAGCTGTTTCCCCGACCGGAATCCCAAACGTAAAAATTGGTGTTCCAGTTTTGAGACACGAGTTTCATGTCTTCGCGGCTGTTCTTCGGTGTATAAATGGGAACGATTTGTGCAAATTTTGCCCCATTCTCTTTCAACCGGTTTGAGAATAGATTCGACTAGAACCATGACAACCCTGAAGTAGCAACTACACTAAAGAACTTTAAATTTATTCGATAAAATCCTCTAAATTCTCTAATCAATACATCAAAGTGGAACACCGTTTCATTACGTTCCTACTGGGATGATGTTTCTCAGTTTCCGCGCAAAAAGAAAACTTGCCTTCGTTTTATTCATCAGTCATTCACTTTCATCTGCCGTGATAAACCGAATTCATCCGAGGAGAAAAACAGACAGTTCCACCACAAACTTGTTTTCGTGACTTCCTCGGATAAAAAATTTGACTTAAAGCTTTCGGGGAAGTCTACAGTCGAACTAATTTGAGTAAATATTTCGACTTGTTAGTTTGCGGCCACTAAGAGACAAGCTGATCTCAATTCAGTTAAGGCTAGCTGGATAGATTAGTGGAACTCTAACGGATACGACTGATATGAAACTACTATACAAGGTTTTTAAACAAGTTTTTCCTGTTTTGGTTGCTGGGAGTCTCCCTATTGGCTTAGGAACTAAATAATGGACGATCGAAATCTGAGTCGCCGTTATTCTTACAGCAGCCTAGCGGATAACAGACGCACAAACATACGAGATAGAGAATCAAAAATGGAAGAAGGATGATTCCTACAATCAAATAAAACAGGAGAAGGACAGGAATCCAGCAACAACCTGTAAAATAGGAAAAAAAAGGCCCAACTTAGTCATCACGAAAGTACTTATTGAGCGCACTTTTCTTAACCCGCGTCTCCTACTCTTTACAGTCAGCCGTCAAACGGCCTAAAAATTAACCACCAACCGTCAAAAAAGGTTACTTTTTACCGTCACCCGTCAAAAAGCCTCAAAGTATTTCAAATCTCACTATTTCAGCTGATCTTGACGGAATTCTAGGTCCTGAAGAATTTCTCAACTTGAAAAACCAGTTCTCATGTTCTCAAAAACCGTTTCTTTCTAGACATTGCAAGATCTTAGAACTTGCTTACATCTGAAAATATTGCGAAATTTTCTTAAGATCAAAACAAGCTCCACAACACAACTGTTAATATCAATTCATCTTCTTCTTTCTTCTTTTACGCCAAAGATCTCTCAGGATCCGTAAACGCATTCTAATGCTGGATTATTCTTATAATAAGTCTCTCTTCTTAGCAAGCCTGATAGCTTGCGATGGTGTACTTCGTGTCCATTCACAGATGTCTCTTATCCAACATCTTTGTGGTCTACCCCGCCCTCTGTTTCCAGGAGCTCGTTCATGCTGTTAGTCAGTCTAAGCTCACTGGGATGTCTCGTGACATAGGGATTAATATTTACTGTAATTTTTGGACTAAGTTTTCATTTTATTACCGTCAACCATCAAAAGCTCTGAAATTTAGCCGACAGTCGTCAAAATTGGACAAATTAACAGTCAACCGTCAAAGCTACCACCCCACTGAGACCCTCTAGAACCAGTACCTCATCCCTAGTCAACCAAGCAACGTAAAGTGTCCTGCCGTGCCAGGCTCTCAATTATAGAAGGGACCTCGTAAGGGAAAGCAGGACGCGCGTCATTACTATATTGGAGCCTGGAACAGGCTACGTAACGGTGTAATCATTTGCTTGCTCAGTTATTTTAAGGCCATGAATGCTGGTCCGGCCCCGGGGATCGAACCCGCGACCTCATCCCACTCGTAGTCCAGCGCTCCGCCGACTGATAGACGGACGAGCTTGTTTCTGTTTCAGAGTTAGTCCTATAATTTCCATAATTATAAGCGGTATTGTAGGGCCTACCCTTTCCTTCCAACTTGTACCATTCATATTCACTGTCGCACGCTAGACAACAGTAGTCCGTGCAGCTGGGCTCCTCTCTGTAGGTTATGGCAGGATTTGGTTGGTATCTTGGTGGGGGAGGTGCTAGTGCTGGACGGTAAGTATAGCCGCTGAAAATAATATGATAAAACCAGTAATCACTTGATCGAGATCAGCGAGATTTCTGCATTGTTATCTCACGCTTTATCGTCGATCTTTATATGAGTTGCAGAAGTCTTGTCCCATTATGGCTCCTGGTACAATGAATTATTGTCCACGAAATATCACTTAAAAGTATCATGATTTTAAAATCTAGTTATAGGCCCTGTGCTTATAAAGAGAGAAACCTACGATTAAATTGCATACCTCAGTGATACGTTACTTCTATTTAGTGTCCAATTTTGGAAATTCTAAGATGACGTCAAAACGTATTTTGTTACTGCTATATTCCATTTTTTATTCTTTTTATTCTGGGGCCGTAGATCTTTTATAGATCCGATATGCCGTAATTCTTGCATGGTTCTGTCCATGTTTTAGGGGTTGATTTTGGCCGATTCTTTATTTTTTCTGCGAGACATCAACTTGACACTTTGACTCTTGCTCCCCAGAAGACGCGTGGGGGTGTTGAGAGTGCTCAGAGTGCGCGGATATTTTTTATCAGAGCTTTCTCTGGTTGTTACGCTACATTGACGAGCCCCAAAGGGGGCGGAACAGCTGTCTATGGCTACAATCCCGCTCTGTTTTGAGTTCTTTCGGTGTCGTGTTGATGTCTTGCAGAGTTAATTTTCACGTAGTACGATCAGCATTGCAGTATTCTGTTTGCAGAATTTAATATGTCTATTATTAGAGTTATTTGTTACAATCAGGAATTCAACCTCCTGTTTTACCCTGTCGGTTGTACTGTATCTACTTGAACTGCAACAGCACTGAAAGGAGAAAAATAGAAATATTCTTATTAACTAAATTTTAAAAAATCTCTTAAGTAGCTAGTTAGCTGGGTCTGCCGCCTTTCAAAGTCATTTCACAATATTATAGTAAAAGATGGTGGGCAAGGAATTCCAACCAACTGAAATCCTGCTATGTGCGGATTTAGAGCGCTGAAATTATGAAGACTCGTTGGCTCGACAAGCGTCTCAGCTGTAGAGTCATGTTTCTTTCGTCCCACTGCACTCTTTATATTTAGAATCACAAATAAAAGATTCTTGTTATGGGGTTCCTTGCGAAAACATTTTTGTAAAAATCACAGTTCACTTTCGCTTCAATTTAAGAATAAAATGTAACATTTATACTGCACCCTATCAGCATCAAAACTTAATTAAGAAAACGTGACACAATTGGCTTCAGACGAGTCCAAAGTCACGTGACCTTTGCACGAACTGCTTCAATACAGTACTCAGAATTCTTGTAATTTTACTATTCAAATGTTTCTTTATTGATGTTTCATTGGATGTAAGCTTGAAATGAAAGATTTGAAGATGAAAATGAGACAGTATACCTTCTATATTATAACAAATGCGCAGCAAACGATTTGTGTTTATGTCACTTCCGCCTTTTTGCAGAATTCGGCTTCCACTACGATCAATGTACGTTTCTAATACCGCTTTGTTTGCAGAAAACTTTGGCCACCAAAAATGACCATGAGAAAATTTCCAGCGAAGGAAAATTCGATTTCAAACCATTTGTTTATAAGTGTTAATGTTGAGTTGATTCAGTAGTCTAAAGAACCGTGCCGTACCATGATTAGCGAAAGACTCATGCAAGCGAGGTTTAAAAAGAGTTTATACTGACCCTTCATTTGTAGCAGCTACATATGTTTGTCTCACTGCTTCAACGCCTCCGATCCTGGCCCGCTCTTCCCGAACGGCAATTATAGCGTTTCCACGACGCGGATCGTTGTTCATGTCTTTGGGTCTCCGATTTCGACCGATCTAGGACTGTCTACGCACCAGCGGATAAGATTATCTGAGCCCTTACTGAGCTCAGTTTCATGTCACGTCATTCCCAAGCTCCCAGCTCTGTCGAATAACGCAATGTGCAATTGCCAAGTGGCATTTCAGATAGTGATTGTCTTGGCAAAAAAAAATATAATGCAGCAATTTCTTGACTTTAAAAAATCATGATAAGTCTAATATCACGCACTTTTACAGTTCTCGTTTTTGGTAACTCTCGAGAAAAGTCCCATGTTCTAATAAGGGTCGTCCCTGAGTAACCACCCACCCACACGGTCAACCTTGCAAGTAAGCGACCCTCCTCCCGTCATTTTGTTACATAGTAAATCTATCACAAACAAACCCTCTCACTTCAAGTTTCTCACTTTCATAATTTTTTGTGTTAAAGCTGTTGATGCTTTAACTTGTCGAACAGAAAACAAAACTAACAAAAAGCGGATATTATATTAGCATATATTTTGTCACATCATAACTGGAGGGTTTTGTCCCTTAATGTAAAAAAGATTCAGTTATTGATATTCAAAGCAAAAAAAAAATAGACAGCAAGTTAACATTAGTTTAGACGGTTCAGGTGTCAAACAGGTAGAATCAGCTAGATTCTGAGCAGTCCATGTAGACGAAAATATTAACTGGAAAAATCTTGCAGCAAGACATTATTGACCTCGCGTTGTTATGCAGGGTCTATATTATACACTTATCTACCCATACCTAAGTCATGGTAACATTGTATGGAAAAATACGTACACAACAAGACTAGAACCAATAAGAAAGCTACAAAAGAAAATTATAAGGATCATTACTAATTCAAATTTTAAAGAACATACTGGTCCTCTCCTCAAAGAACTATTAATTTCACCTTTAGATGATATAAACAATGAAGCCATTGCTTTATTCATGTTTAGATACTTTAATAACAATCTACCATCATCTTTCAATGATTTCTTTTGTCTGAACAAAGATGTTCATCAATACAACACAAGATCATCCTCTAACGTTCACAAAATCCAAGCACGAACTAACTAACAAAAACACTCAGTAAAATACAAAGGAGTTTCAATATGGAATAACTTGCCATTATAAAAGAAATTAAGACAATCAATTTATTTAGGAAAAAAAAATAAAACGCATTTTCTCCACAAGCAAGAAAATTAGAAATTCAGTATGCAAACGTAGAATTTTACATAAATGATTATTCTAAGTAAGTTCGCCAATTACTGTAATTACTGTAAATCTCTTAACACAGCTATATCCTTTTTATAATCTTTAAATTAAATCATTGTAGTAAACTTGCTCAGGGGCTCTCCTCGTAAAGCCCAAAAGGGTTTGCTGAGAGCTCCTGCCTAGGTATAAAATTATCTTATATTATTCTGTAACTAGTATGTGAAAGGGCAAATAAAGATTGATTGATTGAAAGAAAAGAGGGTCTCAATGGGGTTAACCTTCAGCGGTCGTCTAAAGAGGTAAATTTTTACCGTCAACCGTCGAAAATGCAGATTAATATTAATCGTCAAAAAGTTTCAAGGTATTTCAAATCTTCCTGAAATCTCTCTCCGCTCACTATTGCAGCTGATCTTTATGTACTTCTGGCTCCTGAAGAATCTATAAACTGGAAAAAATGTTCTCATGTCCCATTTTCTCAAAAACACTCTCCCTAAACACTGAACAAGACCTCATAAGTCTTACAACTTGCTTATATCTGAAAATATTTCGAAATTTGATAAGTGAAGGGCCAAGATAACCTCCAAAACACAACAAACAATATTAACATGATTAATTTATACAGAAGTTAAAATTTACTTCAACTTTTAGACTAAATTTCCACTTAATAACCGACAACCGTCAAAATTGGAAAAACATTAACCGTCAACCGTCAAAGCTACCATACCATTGAGACCCTGTTCAAAGGATGTTGTAAATCAAATCCAGGGTTAGTTATCAAATAGTTACATCTGGTATGTTTTTTGTTTATAATAGACCATTTAATAGTTGAGTACCCTAGCCTTCGGGTGAATGTGGGGCTGGTGTTGGCCTTGTTTTAATTCAAACCTCCTTTGTTTTCTTATGGAACTTTGAAAAAAATACTACAACTCTGCTCAAAACATCTTGCGACATTTGAGGAAATTAGTTGCGAAGACGCATTTTGGTAAATCATCTCATATTCTACCTCTTAAACAAGCTTGGGAATGTTGTTATAAGTTTGTATGGTTGCCCTTCCTGCGTTTCTGTTGTTGAGACCAAAAAACAAGAAAAAAAAAAACAAGAAACAATAATTGCTAGTGAGAACAAATTGTTTGCAGCCCCTAATTTTCCCGTAATAGCGAAATCTAGCGCTCTATGTAAGGGGCACCCTATAAGTGTCTACCTGCAAAACTAAAGTGCTACATTGTATTACAACAAGCTGGGTGCAATATGGCAATCACTCGTCATCGCAACACATAGAAACCAAGCAACAACATAAGCAAAACAGGCAAGCACAACCGCTGCAGTCAGGCTCTGCTGGTTCATCGAAGTAGGATATCCCCCCAGTTGGGGATAGCTGCCAGCAGGTGCACTGTAACAAAAATCACAAATTAGTTTATTGACGTCTTTTAACCTCTTTAGTTTTTTTGTGTTATTTAGATATTAAGGAGACAGTCATCGTTGTTATTGGAAGTTGTGTTCATTTTTTTGTTTCTTCACTTATAGACGGAATTGGTTTATTTAA